GTCCTCCATTCGTCTTTGATACAATTCTTCTGAACTTCAATGAGCCACAGAACCTCTGCTTTACTCCTATAGTCATCCATTAAACGCAATACTCCTTTGAGTTTACCTACAAACGATAAGACATATACTGTGCAATTAACTAATCTCTCATAAGAACTGAAATGCTCAATAGGAACAATGACTCCTATTCCTCTCTCATTCTCCATTACACTCAGTGTGGCACTACTATTCTTTATCCTCAATTCCTCCATACATTCAGGAGGGATCTCTTCTGTCTCTTGGACAGGTATAGTAACATGGCTCTCCAACCATGGAGGACCATGAAACCACACTTGAGATTCACACAACTCAATGAGAGTCATACCCCTTGAGGGTAAGTCAGCAGGATTCATCTTCCCCTGACAGTGACTCCAGCAACTAACATCTATCTTTTCTCTTATCTCTCTAACTCTATTTTGGACAAAGGGCTTCCAATGCCTGTCAAGTCCCTTAATCCAATGTATAGTCGGTTTCAGTTGAGTTTGACCACTGACCCACCCCTATAACTTCTCTATTATTTATGCTAGCAACTTGAAACTTGGTATAGTTGCAAAACGGGTTCTTCTGAAAATCTGTACCAATTTTGGAGTCTCTAGGTACTCTGGAAAGTTCTCAAAAAGTTCTTCCGGTCAACATGAAAGGGAGCCGCCATGATGTTTCATAATGTGAAGCTTCGTGAATATCATTTGCATCTCATTAAATATGTCAATAATCATGTTTTTATTATTTAAAAATCAAATAAAGCAAAAGGAGCACTCCAGGCCAAGATATAATTGAACAAGAAGACTTTGCACTCCAGAAAGAAGTCTCACTCAGTCTGCTGTACCTCTCTAAGCCTTCGTTATTTGTCTTCACCATTGCCGCTCAGAAACTCCGTTGAAATTTTGCATCTCTCGATTCTTTCTTCAAGTAATAGCAAGCACAAAGGTCCTTCATGTCAATTGCAGGGCTATCAGTGACCAAAATAGGGTAATAAACAAATTACAACAAGAAGAAAGGAGTGTGATGAAATTTTCAGCCATTTTGTTTGCGTGTGGGTGGGGCTACACGTGATGTTTTGATGATGAAAACATCCGGTCAAACTCAACTGAAACCGACTATAACACTATTAATGAATCTGTGAAACACACAGTATCAGATACAAATGCCCTTAGGCTGGCCTTAACACTAAAAATCAGCCTAGCCAAAAGGACAGCTCCCAAGAGTTCCAGTCTGGGAACAGTCTGACTCTTCAGAAGGAGAGACTCTAGTCTTTGAGGCCAATAGCACAAGCTCTTTATCACAATTCTCCAAATATACTACAGCTGCATAGGCCTTCAATGAAGCATCACAGAACCCTATCAATCTGGATTTACTACTTAAATCACTAGTAGTGCAGTAACGTGCCAGTCTCAATGGCTGGGCTTCAAGGCCTGTAAGGAGTTGCTTCCACTTAAGCAATAGTGGCTCAGGCGAAGAATCATCCCATCCAATCTTATGATTACACAAGCCTTGAAAAAGCATCTTAAAACTGACTATAACAGGAGAGATGAGCCCCATAGGATCATATATCTTACTAATCACACTGACTAGCTTACGCTTAGTGGGCTCAAGTCTCTTTGCTTCATGAAAAATAAGAGTAAGATCAATGTTGATCTCATCAGCAATAGGATCCCACAGGACACCCAGAACTTTCTGCTCACTTCCCAGAGCAGAGTTAACTCTCCCTAAAGTACTCTGAGCATAAGTCTCATGCTCATCTCCTTCAAGAACAATACCTTGCTCTGCTGAGTCAATTAGACTCTGTACTTCTGCATTATTGCTCAAAAACTTTCTTAAATTAAATCCTCCTTTGGCAAATATATCTTTTGAATCTTTATAAAGAGAAAATGCTTCAGAAACATTATCAACACCAGTTATGACATGGTCCACATAAATAGAGTCTTTAATCTTCTGAATAAGATCTGGATACCTCGACTCAAAGGTGCTTAAGTGCTTAGCAATGGTGGCATTGAGAAGGAATGGGCTTGGAGCTACACCATACACCACACGTGTGAACTTATAAATCTGAAGCTCAGGATTCTCACAAAAAACATCTTTGTACCACAGAAAACGCAAAACATCCCGATCTACATCTGCCACCTGAATCATAAGAAAGGCTTTCTCTATATCAGCCACAATAGCAATAGGCCACATCCTAAATCTCAAAAGAATATCAAAAACCTTTTGATGCAATGAAGGTCCTATATGGAGGCAATTATTCAATGATGGACCGTTAGTCTTAGCAGAGGCATCGTATACAATTCTTAATTTTGTAGTAGACTTATCCTGTCTCAACACACAATGATGCGGTAAATAGTGTATACGAGCCACACTGAATTCTTCAGAGTTCTCAACAGGGACAATAATTCCCAAGGCTAGTTGCTCTCTAATGATATCATCATATTTCTTCAATAACTCAGGAGACCTCTTCAGGCGCTTAAACAAACCACTCAATCGACGTAAACAAAGCTGATAGTTATCAGCAAGAGAAATGCAAGAGTCTTTCCAAGGCAGGGAAACAACATACTTACCATTAGCAAACTTCACATGATCACCAAATTGAGTTTGCACTAAATTCTCATCTTCCAAAATTCCTAAAGATTCTAGCTCCCAAAATGAACGTAATCTATGTTCTAGGCTCATGTCTTCATGGACACCATCAACCCTTAAAACATGGGTGACCATAGTAGCACTCCGTGCACTAGACTGTTTCACAGCAGCAGTACCAGATAAAATCCAGCCAAAGCATGAGTTTAGAGCAACAGGTCCATTGTTACTCTTCATTATCTCACTTGTAAGTAGAGACCAATACTGGTCAGATCCAATTAAGATGTCTGGCTTTATCTGCTTGCAATGATCCAATGGAATAGAAAAGTCCAAATTATTCAGATGAGGATACTTATTCCAATCTATGGCTTCATACGTCAAAGGCTCACAAATGTGGCTAACTGTGAGCAGCTTAAGCTCCATATGAGCATTATTTTTAAGCTCAAGACCCAGTTTTACAACATGGCATTGAGTACGACACTCCTTTCTAGACCCAAAGGTCATTATAGAAACTGATTTAGTGCCCAGAGATGGCAATCCCAACCTCTGGCATGCACTTCGAGTAATATATGAGCACTGGCTCCCACTGTCCAATAGGACATATAAAGACATTCTATTACCAGGCTCATTTAGATTGAAGGCAAAGACGCGTGCCACTTGCAAGAGAGTAGACTCTCTAGAACTAGTATAGAATGTGGCACCTGTATTTGATCCTTCAAATGGAGGGGTCTCTGGATTAAGCCCCTTAGACAAATGTGGGGAAGCACCATCTCTAGCAGTAGGAGGCCTCTGGCCTGATTTAGGCTTTGAGTTCCTCATACATACACTAGAGTGATGTCTCCCTCTACAAGTAGCATAGCTCATTGAAGAGCGACAGTGCTTACTAATGTGACCGGGGCGGAGGCAAACAAAGCATCTGCCCTGCTCTCTAATCATTTGCTTTCTCTCATCAATTCCAGTGACCTTAGTACACTGGGCAGGTGTGTGGTCCTCTTGCTGGCAAAAGCAGCAACCACTCTGGCTACCTCCAGTAAAAGTGGCAGTAGTGTGAAAATCCCTTCCACGCTTTGGTGTAAAACCACTCTGTTTAGTCTTAGGCAGGGAGGCCCTCTCTCTAGCTTCTACCTCTGCTAATAGCACCTCCAGTATCCTTGTCATGTTCCAATCATCTGCTGGAAC